TTTATTTCTTGCCTGTCCACAAACTCACATTTTTGGCAACAATTTGCTGAAGCACTCACAATAGTACTGCAACCCTCCCAATCTTGATGTACAATCAATATGCTCCTTATCATCCTTTTGTGGTGTACTCTACCCATGCTACAGCTACTCACAAGCATCCAGATCTCCTTCTGCTATAATTGTACCAGTTACACTCTAGCTTTTGCCTCCCTCCTGTTTGTTGATATGCTCTCTTAGAGAAGGAACGTTTGCAGGAGTTTCATTGGTACTGAAGAACTGCAGAAGAGGACTCCCCTAGAGCAGAACACAAATATACATCTAAAAAACACTAGCTGTTGATAAGCAAACAACCTTTCTTCTTTGGGACGGGTCAGATAGACACCTATGCCTGAAATGCAGTGTGACATATGCAGTCCTTTCCCCAGAAAAATGGTGGGATGCAGTTATGGATGCTTTATGACACATAGTAAGCACAGGAGGAGTATTTTGCTTCATGGACTTGATTTCCTCCTTCAACAGAACAACTGAGGAGAACTCCCTAAAGTACCCCAGAATGTGCAAGGCAACAGTAAGCAAAAACCCAAAATGCTATCTGTCTGTAAGGATGGATTCTGGTTCTGATCAGTGGGAGGTTGGGACTTTATGGGTAGAGAAAGGGTACTTCAGAAGAGATGTCAGCACTACTTGCACTGTTTGAACATCAGCATCACAGTCATTTGGTAAAAAGTTTATATTAACATTTACAAAAATAAAAAAGTAATGATGTTCAACTTCTCTATCAGGATAAAAATGGAACACTAAGAAGGTAACCACCTGATCTGTTTCTTCATCTATGTGAAATAGGATCAGCACTAAGATTTCAGAAAATGGAACTATCCTGGTTGACAACTGCTCAGTGACATATCAAACCACAGAGCTGGTAGGTTTTACTATCCTAATTTGCAATAAATTACATTTCAGAGAAACTTGACTCAATTTTGACAGAATTTTTGACTCATTCCATTGTGTGTCCATGAAATACTCTGTTTAATACAAACTAAGAGGACCACAGGCCATTCATGCTTATTAATCTGAATTTTATGGATTTCTGTTTTTTTCAAAGTTCATTCTTTGTTAAGTAGAAAAATAGAAAGTAAAATACAGAAATACGAAATGCATACTCCTGCCATTTAAGCTAAGATTGTACTGACGAGGCAATAGATAGTGGGGGGTTCTCTTGTCTCAGATTACCTAAAGTTTCCACTGTGTGAATTTATAGATCATTGAAACAATTATAAAAAACAGGGTATTATAAAACCAGATGTTTTATAATTAATGTGACAGAAAAAACAGCTGTGAAAATGAACTGTAAAGTGACTGAAAAGAAGAAACAGTACTCCAAAGCAAAAATATTACTAACGCAGTGCCTCACAGGAAAAATTTACGCATTCTGAACACAGAAGAGTTCTGGTTTTAATATCATGATTCAGTTCCTCTCATCCACAGTGTGGATAAAACAGGCTTTATAAATCTGCTTTGGGATTCCAAAGTAATGCTAGAAGTTCCTGTTGAAAGCCATTGAACCTTCCTCATGGCAAGAGAGTGCCATCAACTCTGTCCATTGATAGACTTTCTACCATCACTGTTATGATCTTCTTAAAATTTATCTGGGAAAAGCGAAAGGGAAATAGGAGAATCAAGAAACCACTCTGGCATTTTCATTTCTGTTGAAGGCTCATGCAACCCTCCCTTAGAGTCTGGGTCTTTGCTGCCTTCATGTGGCTCAGAGGTTCAGGGGTCCTTCCTAGGCAGGAAAGAAGCCTCACTGTGTTCACACTAGACAAGCATACCTTTATTACAGTACATCCCACATTTGTGAGATCTGGTGGGATGGGGCTGCACTTGGAAACAGTACATGTGCATAAAGAAACAAATTATATCAGGTAGTATTGGGGATTCCTATTTGACTACTTATATTTGTTAAGATCTATTTCCTAGATCTTGCTATTTCTATAGCATGCAGACACGGTTTTTGGTTTTTTTAAAATGTGTTTTCATCATAAAAATAATATTGGATGTTATAAATTAATTCTGAAGTAGTAAAGCTGACTGCTACTACCAGTAACAAAATTTCTTATGTGCATTAAGAAATGAGATAGAAATGGCAGTCACTGCAGATATATATATATATATATACACTAGCATTACTGATGATAGTTCTTTCATTTCAGCTTGCCCAAAACTTCACAGAAACAATCAAATACTAGCTAACCGAAATCAACAAGCTCAGATTTCTTTTCAGGGGTACCACTGACTGAGAGGAAAAGCTTGAATCCTACCACAACAGCACAGTCTGATGCATATTGACACTGTAGAGGGCTTTGTGCACTTCAAAAGCATAAATCAGTAGCAAGTATTCGACAATGGCTCTCCACAGTTCCTGTATTTAGCGTAATGCTTCTCCCGCTAAGTGCTCGCAACTTTATTAAGAGCAATGAACTGGATTCAGCTAAGAAAAAAATGCTGAACATTCCAAGTCAGCAAGAGTCGTGCCAGCTTATGAGGTAGATTTAACAGTACACTTTCTGGGTTCGCAGGGGCAGGTTCAGGTAGCAGGGGGAGTCTGGTTGTAGTTTCTGCGAGAAGCTTCTAGAAACCTCCCTGTGCCTGGCAGAGCCAATGCCCGCCGGGCCTCAGACAGCCCCACTGCCGGGCCGAGCCCATCGGCAGCGGGGACAGCTCCTCTGGGAATGCGTGCTCAAGAAGGGAACGTGTTACTGCACAGCAGCAAATGCAGCCAGGGACGGGTGAGAATCGGTGAGAGAACAGCCTTGCAGACACCAAGGTCAGTGAAGACTCAGGTGCAGGACATGCTCCAGGCACTAAAGCAGAGATTCCTCTGCAGCCCGTGGGCGTGAAGGAGATGGTTGGAGACCCCCTCGTTCGTAGATTATCTTGTCCAGATGAGGACAGCAGTGACCAGAGCTCTGGGAGAGGAATTTATCGCATTTCTGTTATCAGGGAATGTGAAACTGAGTGAAGCCAAGAATTTATTGAGAAGGGGACGAGTCAAAAACTAAACAAAGAAACATCCAAAACTTAGGGAGAATGTTTGAATCATGCTTGAAAATTTATGAATATGTAGTAGAGTTCTGTTTTTAAGGGACTTTGCTAGTAAGGTGTGCTTTCTTGGCTGAATGCAGAGACACCTGGGCGAAGAAGTGCATCCCATGTAAAGTGTCCCATGCTAGGGAAGCTAATGCAGATCCAAAGCCCTTGGGAAGGACCCCAGGCTGGAGCAGGTGGGAGTGAGGAATCCTCCCCCTGACAAGGAAGGAGTGGCAGAGGGAGCACATCATGAACTGACCACAATCCTCATTCCCTGTCCCCCTGACCCTCTGTGGGAGACAAGGTACAGAATTCAGGAATAAAGTTAACTCTGGAAAGAAGGGAGGGGGGATTTTTATTTTTTATTTTTTTAAAGTTTTATTTATCATTACTGCACTGGTTTTATTGGTAATAAATTCAATAATTTCCCCAAATCAAGTCTCTTTTGGTCCTTACTGCAGTTGGTGAGTAATCTCTCCCAATCCTTCTCTCCCCATTCCAGCAGGGGAGGGGAGCAATAGGCTTTTATGGGTGTTTGGTGTTCATACAGATATTCCACATCTACTTAAGACACATAATTCAGTTGAGATATACAATCAGCACAGTTCTTTGAATTAGAACTGGTGTTCTCAGACATAGAGAACACAGATATGTTTATAAACTATAATGCAATTAATGGACAGCTCTCTTAATACTTTGTTCTGAATAGAAGGGATTTTACAATGTTATGTGTTTTAAATCCTAAGGGAAACTTTTGTAATTTTGGAAAACGGTAAAAAGTTTGATTTTATAAGAAGGGAAAGCAAAAAACATAGGGAGAAGTTATTTCACAGAGATACCCTCTGTACAGCAATTTCAGACACAGTCTGTCTCTCTCAGCCAGCCCCTTTCACTTTTCTGCTGTTTAAATGGATCCTTTTTGTGTCATTTTCCTCAAAAATACTGCATAAGTTTAATGAATAAATATGTAAAGACATTTAAAATGTCCTTAAATCATTAATACGTTTTGCTGAAATAACAGCATTTACTGAGTTCTGTGAAATGGACATAGAAACAGTTGAAATTCAATGTTTTCTGTAGTTTGTTAGTACAGGAAAATTGCATTGCATCAAAACTCCTACTAAAGAAATAGGAATATGAAGAAATTCCAAGAGAAATAATTAAAATATTAACATTAGTAATATTGCCAGTATGTGATGATAATTTTTAATGAGTAACCTTATGTTATTTGCCTTGCGTCTTAAAGCTTTATATATATATATAAGAGAACCTAAACCAGCAGAGAGTTACTGCAGAATATTTTTCATTGATTCTTGAAAAGCAGCAAGGAAAAGCCATCCAATGTTACTTGTTCTGTAATTTTTCCTACTGTGAACAAACAAAGCCTCTAGTCTAAGCAGTTTTGAAGCATTTTTAAACTGTCTTAAAAAAATCCCTAAAATCATTATCAAACAATTTTTGTAAATGTAAAAATTTACAGCAACATGGCATCTGCAGTTCGTATGGGATTTTGTAGATGTTTATGATCTTGGTTTGGGTGCCCTCTGCTCTGGCCAAAATCCATGAAAATGTTATTTGTTTTGGGTCCTTCTGAACCTGAGCTTAAGAGCACTGTATAAAAATTTATCTGGGAGCCAATGAAAAGTCAACACAGGTATCAGTGCACAGGTTTTTTGTGCATTCTGACAGGAACTTAAGTTGCCAGGCAGGAATAACCTTCTCCACCTCTGACTTCCAGCTGGGTCGTTTTATGTAGCTGCTAATAACATGTATCAATAGCTGGCAGTGAGAAAGAGATGACAGCTGTTGGTCCCTGTTACTGAAATAATAATGATTTGTAAGAGCAAGAAGAAAAGCTTTTGTAAACTTTCGCTTTGGCTTGATTTTATAAAGTGCTATCACATAAACTTTTTTAGGCTCATCAGTAACCTCTTCAGTTCTCCAAGACAATATCCTATTGTTAAAGGTAGGAATTTGACCATACTGAGCTGAGGCCATGAATGGATGGCAGATGAAAATTGCCTTTCTCAACTCTCACAAATTTTAACTACTTTCCATTTACCCCACTGATAAGTTGGGCTCCATTTTAGAAGTCCCACTGACTACAGGGAGATTATGAACAATAGACCAGCAATCAGTGGCTCCATGTGGGAAGACAAGCTTTTGACAGTTTTTACGATGTTAGAAAATCTCCTGCTGCCTGTTTTAACATGAAGGACAGGGAACTATAAGGATTATCAGCCTGAATTGAAATACAGAGATTTTTTTGAACACTCTAGGCAGAAAGAATCCAGTTGTATAAACCAGTTGGAGTTTTCAACATTCTGCAAGCAATTATCAATGAGTCCATGTCTTCTGCATCAGAAGTAACTGTGTGTGTGAAAAAACAAGCAGATTACATTTGTTGCACTGCATCGTAAGTACTTAAAGATTAAAGTAAAAAAACTGTTGTGGATATGTTATAAAACTGTATTCATGTAAGAATTTATATCTTTTTCTCCTTCTTGTTAAAGAAAACTGTTTCATTCCCTACCTCAGAAATTAGTGAACCCATGATAAAAGCATTTTTCAGTGAAAAAGATCAATATGCCAAAATTATGAATAAAGAATGATGACCTGCAGACTTTAAAAGCATAAAAAGGAGATGGATGTGGGGAAAAAAGGAGAGATTTAATTACACATAATGTTTTTCTCTATATTCTGGTTTCTCAGGGTGATTTAGTCTCTGTCCTTACTCTGAAGTGTCAGGATCCTCCAGTGATTAATGCAACTTCCTTTTAGTCCAGCTGTTCTCATTGTGGAGGGAATCTGAAGTGAATAGGTGGGTATCTTAGGTGTCACAGTTCAGTGTTGTAAGCTAAGTAGAATGATTCTAAATTTCTGGGAATATTTTCAAAGGTTCATTAGTAGCTAAATAGCAACACCCAAAAGAAATGTCAATTGCCTTAATCCCCCTTAAATTTCTCTGTTGCAAATTCCTTATCAGTATGACAGAAATAATCCTTCTAGTGCCCACCACCATAAACACCCATCAGACAGACCCAGTTCTACAGCAGTAACCATGAAATTCAGAAAATTAATGAAATTTTATAATGAAAATTTCTATATTGATTTATAATGAAATATATATAATGAAAATTATAATGACTTTAATGAATATAAATGAAATATGAATGAAATATATAATGAAAATCTCTGAGACTTTTTCTCCTTTCAAATTGAAAAAATGACACCATCCTACTTCAGAGGAAGGAGGAAAGATGTATTAATTTTTAGGAAGAACTTACCTTTTGAAATAAGTGAAACAAACTGAAACTGCTACCCATCAGTGGAAGCATATTTCTCAAATCTATTTCTCTTTAGCTTTTCCTGATCATCAATCCCTGTTTTTTAATAAAAAATATTAAATCAATTCTTTAAACAAAGGTAAAATGAACTGAGAAAAGTATAGTCCAATTTAAGAAAAATACTAATACAAATTATTTGTTTGGAATGCTCTAATTACAAATTAACTCTCTGCCCTTCCTGTAGAATCTCAAGATTCATATAAACAGCCTTTCTTTCCCCTCCCCCAGAATTTTTCAGGTAAAACTTCTAGGCAAGCAAGCAAAAAATTACATTTTAAAGCAACTGAAATACTTTTTTTTTTTTTTAAAAAAAAAGCAGGGTTCCTGCAACATAGGCTATTTGGCTCTCCATGAAAGCAAAAAGCAGATGTGTATTTACACATGCAAAAACCATAAAATAATTGTTTTGATGAGTCCAGGAAAGAATGATGGGCTTAATCTAGGCTGACATAATTTACTGCATATTATTATTTTATTTATTATGTTATAACAAAATACATCAGTCTAGAAAAAATTTCATAATCTCAGTTTTCTACCTACTGCCAAAAAAATTAAACATTTTTAAAAGCAGATTACAAAGCTGCTGATTTTAAGTGTTCTTCTGAAGAAAGACACAAGGCTACAATTACAAAATATTCCAGTTACACTGTGGTTTCTCTAAGAAAGAGAGCTCCAGCTTTCAATATTTCTGCAAGAATGAGGGAGTATGGTTTTGCTTGTAGTTTGTATTTCATCTGTCTAAGCTCGTTAATTAGAGAAACCTTTTTTCACATCACATGTCTATACAATCACTCACTTAAATATGTACCTCTTTACCAGAGAAATGTTAGCAGTGAGATACAAATAACAAAATTTTGTGTCTGCATTGTTGTCAATTCCTTTAACATTCCTTTAATAAGTTTTATGAATTTAAAGTGTGAATGTCAGTAGAGGAAAAGGTGAAAATGTTTCAACTTTCAGAAACTATTCAGCAGTAGGTCCTCACAGTCACAATATAATGGAGAATAAATGTTTAAGATATATGTGGAAAGGAAGCAGTTCCTTTAACTGAGTTTAAGGCTCATTTGGTGGATTATTCTGCATATGGAAATTCCCTGTATATTTTAGATGTAAACACATTTCTTTATTTGTAGTGAAGTGATGAAGACTGGGCTATATCCATTCTGTAGTACAGTTTCATTTAGGTTTTTTACTTCTGCACAGCAAATACTGATGAACCTGCCTTAAGAAGCATGTAGGCAGTACTAGCAATATTATCTATTTGATAATGTAATGAAATAACCATCAAAAATTTAAAAAAAAAAAAAAAAAAAAAGGAAAAATCAGGAATTCTGCAGTCTTTGATTTAAGGAGTGCCATCCAGTCATTTGCTTACTCTGTCCCACAACAGCTTGGAAAATTTCTTAAGGAAAGGCTGTATTGATTTGTTTCTTTGTTTCTTTGTTTTTGTTTATTGAAGAACGCAATATGGATTTGGAGTGTTTCTACCGTGACTAAAATATGCTTTATCATTTGTTTATCTGAGAATTGCAGGCAAAAAAACAAACCAAAGCAATTTTAGCTTTGCTGCTTTCTAATCTACTCTTCATGCCAACTTTCCTCATGAGTCAGCTTCCAGCCTAGATTTATGACAATCTTTTCAAGATCTCCCATTCTTAATTACATTTTTGGAGAGTTTTATAAAGCAATGTCCTACCTTTCCCCAGGGTGTTTGGGGACTACAAGTAAAAAGTATGTACTTAACCCTTTCCCACATTTTCACAGTCTATTTGAAGAGCCTATGGAGATAGCTGACAGCTGATAAAGCCAGCTTTTGGGAATATTCTACCTTATGACAGGGACTGTGCCACTTGATGGTAAGCCTGAAGAATGACAGGTGCTCTTTTCTCCCTTGTCCCCAGATTCTTATTAGCATTTTTCAAGCATATGGAGGGCATTTTACAAGGATGCAAAGTCCTTAGTGAATATGTTATACTGATTCTATTAAAGTGAAAGGTGATAGTCCCAAGTAAACTATCCCATTACTTCAGAGAACTGACCTTTAAGCAAGAACTGCAGTTATCTGACAAAATTAAAGGAAAATAAAAATAAAAATGCTGGTATTTGTCTTGTGTAGATGTAAAGTTCTATCCACAATGGAAGTTTTCATTGGGTTCCAGTGAACATATAAACCAATAATTATTCATTTTACTATTAACACTTTAGAGAAACATAATTGGATGTTTGCTCAACTAATAACCCAAGACAATGTATTTAAGCTGAAGAATGCAGCACTCATTATCCTCAATTACTGTTGATAGAAGAAGCAGAAGTCATTCACCTCTGCCAGAAGGAATAGACATTCTGAGGGAAAGATGCTGAGAAATGTAACATCTTAGAGGTGTGTAGATGCAGAGCCCCATAACAGAAGATTTAATCCCATTTACCAGCTAACCTTCAGCCTGCAGTTATTGATTTGACAAGCGGAATGCACCACGTTACTCCTTTAGGGATTTATCAGCCTTGTCTCAGCAATAATATGGTCAACTTCATTTGAAAAGGTGTTGAATAATGAAGAACATCACAGCAAGACATTCAGCAAACCTGAACAGAGAAAAATATAGACTTAACACGACTACTTTCACATTTACAGAATGTTAATCTAAACAAACAGATAATTGAAAAAGGTTATTATTCTGCTCAAACATGGTTATCTTGGCATTTACTGTCTGCCTTAGTTTTCAGCATTCTTAAGATAGAACTTGGCACAGATTTTTAACAGAGTGTAAATAAAGAAGAAAGAAAATTCTCCTGTTCTCTGACAGCTCTGAAAATTATTATGATCTTAAATTAGTGAAAGTAGTTTCAAATTTTGTAAGGATTGCTTGACATCAACAATAATTAATTCAGGAAAGAAACCTGAAAACTTTTTTATGCTTCATTTAGGTTACTGTAATTTCAGCAATATATTACAGATAAATTACATTTTCTAAACAAAAAAGTCTTATTTAGGGAAAAGGTAAAAAGTAAAATTAATGACAAAGTCAGCTTTTGCAACCATTTGAAAACAGTGGTTTCCAGTTGAAAACTGAATCGAGAATTGACAAAAAATTGGTTTCAGCATACATATTCTAGCATAACGAGAACAAGTACAGGAATCTGGCAGTGGAGGGCAAAGGGACCTTCCCCACAATATCTCAAATAGTTCCAACTAGGACTTATTAAACAAAGCATGTGCTGAAGTTATGTAAAACATCGTGGAATAGGAACTTAGCTGAATAGCAAATCGATTCTTCAAGACACTGTGAGAATTGTGTGGAAGAACAAGTGTCCCAGCAGAAGTCCCATGGTGAGCAGAGGGGTTTGCACCAGCTACACTGGAAAATGAAGCCCTGCATGCATTTCCTTTTGCAAACCAGGGAAATGAAAGAAATGTGTATGATTAATGAATGGAAAAGGTCATTTTATTTCCTACTCTCCTTGTGCACTCCCAGCTGGAAATTAATCCCCCCATTGCTGTTTGCTCACTCTATCCTGGTGGGATGGGAGACAGAATTGAAAGGGTAAAAGAGAGAAACCTCCTGGGCTGAGATAAAGTCTGTTTAACAGGGAAAGAAAAAGCTGCACGTGCAAACAGAGCAAAACATGGAGTTAATCCACTGCTTCCCATAGGCAGGCAGGTGCTCAGCCATCCTCAGGAGGGCAGGGCCCCATCAAGTGTAACAATGACTTGGGAAGACAAACTCTATCTCTTCAAATGCCTCCCTTTCCTTCTTCATTCCCCTAAGTTTATGTGCTGAGAAGGATGTCATATGATCTGAAATATCCTTTTGTCAGATGAGATCATCTGTCCCCACTATGTCCTCGGTCAGCTTCTTGTGCAGCCCCAGCCCCCTCGCTGGTGGGGTGATGTGATGGGCAGAGAGGGCCTTAGTTGCTGTGTAATCCCTGCTCAGCAATAACAAAAACACACCTGTGCCATCAACACTCTTTCCAGCACAAATCCAAAACATAATCCCATACAAGATATTATGAAGAAAATTAACTCTACCCTGGCAAAGAGCTGCATACATTTAAAGGAAATATTCTTAAATATAGCATTCATGAATCGCCTCGTGGCAATTAATTACAGTCTCTGTTATACTGCCATTAAACCACCAAACAAAACCTCAGTTTTGACAATACTTCAGTGAGGCATTTGTTAGCTTAAGGATTCTGTCATCATTTTGTTGTGAAGACAGATGATGTCTGGAAAGGTGTATTTAAAACTAGAAAAGTACAAGAAAGAAACCTGTTTCTCCTATTCTCCTGAGACACAATAGCAAGTACAGGAGAAAGGGAAAGGCCAGATCATCGCGTCCGTCATTTTGGAGCATGATTCTAATTGCTTGAGAGATCATGTATAGGGACAAGACAGTAGGCAGGCCATCTCTGGAAACCTGGACACATCTGGAGACAAATGAATTGGGGAAAACAGAGCCACTTACCTCTTACTGCTAATTCAGCACCAAGTTGGACTCCAAGCAATGATGCAAAAAGTGGACAATGCAGACACATTGACTCTCTATAAACTGCTTTCTAGATTGCCTCTTTGAAGAATGGTTATTTATCTCCATCCAAAAATATTAAGGCAGTGAGAGTTAGCATGATGAGATGACTCTATGTAGAAAATTACTTAAGGCAACCATTTTCAGTACCATTTCTCAGGTAAATGAAACTGCCAAATGAAATTCCAGGATTTTGTGTCCATATAAATTTATATAGTTTCATAGCAATTTATTGTTTGAACAATTACAGCAGTGACAGCCTGAAGCCAAGCAAGGCTTTCCCTCATGCCTTAGACTTCAAGCTTATTCAAGCTTCAAAAGATCATTTGTGTGACATAACTTGCTATGAAAACTACTTCTCTGGCATTACAAACAAAACTATTCTTAATATTGTTTCGTAGATTATTTAGCAGGAAAGAGTTTATGGCACACTTTCTTTCTGAATTATCACTTTGTTGCCAGAACAATGATACATATAACTATCTGGCTGGCTTTGTGCAGTACTTCACAACCAAGACAGTCTGTGTCTTTAATTATATTAAGAACTTGACCAAGTTAAATTCCAGATGCAATCTTTTAATTTTAACATTGCTACCCAAACCAATTTTATGTTCTATGGTTTTATTAAGGATAATGTAATAAATGCTGTTTCTGATGAAAACCCAGGACCTTTGCCCCTCACATGCTCTGCATCTCATCTGAAGGCCACAGTACTCAAGACAGTTTCATCAGATTATATCTTCAATTCCTTCAATACTAAGCAATGTAGCTGCATTAATTTTTATCCACAGTAAATTATACCATTTACTTAACTACACTGCTATTTAGGAAGAAAGAGCTTCTAGTGTTAGGACTACAAAATTATTTTTACAGTTAAAGCTGTGCAAATAACTGATTGTGTTGATATGATTGCTGCACCAAAAACAAGGAAAAAACATTAGTGTTTAATGCAGATAAAAAAGCAAAGATTTTTTTTTAACTTTTTGAACTTACATTCACCCTCAAAACATAATTCTAAGTCAAAGTAAACACTGTCTATTGTAGCTAAAAATATAAAGGGTTTTTTTGTTGTCGTTTTTATCTTTTTGACCCTTTTTGGTGGCTTGTTAATTTTGGTTATTCTGTTTTGTTTGTTTGTTTTTAAAGAAACAAGTTTTGGGAGCAAGACTTCATTTTGAAACAGGAAGTTGAAATGTCAAATTAAAGCATTTTGGGGTTTCACATACATACAGTGACACACCCTGATCTCTTACTTCTCCCCATCATTCTTTTCCCTATCCTCATCACAGATTTCTCAGTGAGCCTGGCCATAATTCAAGGAGTGAGCTTTGTCCCAGACCCAAATCTTGGGCTGTAAAGGCACGTAAAATAAATAAATTCCATAATCTTCAGGTTCTTCCTTTTCTATTTTTTTTTTCTTTTCTTTTATATATATATTTTAGGCTGAGTACTGGTGTGTTACACTATAATCATTCCCATTAAAATTGCCATAAATAAAGACTGCATGCACAGGTATGCAGTTAAAACATCTCACCCTTCCTTCACCAACCTGTTAAAGGCAGCTTCCCAAACAGTTACCAGTGTACCAAATTTGCAGACAGAAATAGAATGAAGAAGGCCTGTATACAGTATCTATATGAAAATGCAAAGTCCAGAAGACAAAGGATTGTGGATATATATATATATATATATATTCTGTCTCAAATTCAGCCAGTTTATTACTTTCCCACCAGCTTTCAACCCTTCTCTCTCCCCAAGCCACCTTTGAGTGTGTAGCATTTTAAGTGCTCTAAGTACAAGAATTTAGTATAGCCATTAATATTTGTTGTACACTAGGTGTGCAGCATTACCAAACACTGCACCATTAAAGCTTTTCTATAAAGTGTGTAAGTCAAAAGCAAAATATGGCTTAGAAATATTTAAACTTTTATATCCAAACTAAACTGATTTCTCAGAACTGAAGGACTGTTCATCATTACATAGGATCTTTTCTATTAAGTAATCAAAAATTGTATTTTATAAAGTCCCTAAAGTATTCATACTCTAGCTATAGATTTGTACTCTGACCTGTGGTGAGTCCTGAACCCTGTTCACATAAGTGGCTGTGACAGATAGGTAATTTTGTGGTGTTTGTTTTTAAAGCATAAGATAAAAAAAAAAAAAAAAAAAAAAAAAGTAACAGATTCATCAATGTCTGCAGGGGTTCCATTTGCAGGTCTGTCTTCTGAAGTGTTACATTAGACTTATCCAGCAAGATAGAAAGAGTAGATTCACTTCTTGTGCTTTGCACTTCCCATCCACTTGGCCCTTCCAGGAAGCAAGGAAAAGCAAGGAAAAGCAGCACCGCTGGTTCCCTGGAAACCAGTGGGCCTTTCAAAGCAGAAAAATGTGAGGATAACTGCTCCATCTGCCTACACAAGAAGCAATAAAGAACATAATAAGCAGGTCTAGGTCATGCCAAATAGTAGAGAGAACAAAACAAAAGAGCCTTTTATTTTTCCACAAGGTGTCCATTTGGTTTTACACAATTGCATTCAGCTGTGACATTAATTAAAACCAGTGAT